CTTGAGGTTTAAACCTAATACATCGGTGGTATTAATACAACCGGAATATTTGTACTGAAACATCTCCATATGTGTATGATATCTATATAATAAGTGTGATATTATATAGATGATTATCCTGCCCGCATCTCCATATGTGTGTATGATTGGGGCTTTGGGGGCTCTCAGAGATTTGCACATACGAAGGGTGGAGCTTGCTAGTGATTCGGTGGTGACCATGGAAGCTATTTTGAAACCTCTTGATTGGCCACGGTTCCGAAATCTGTTGGATAAGATACATCAGCTTACCACCGATTTTGAATGTTGTCGGCAAATTTTATTGCTCGTACTAAAAATGGTCAGTTTCGTTCCTACTTAGCGTTTGGAGGGCCGGCGTGGCTCCATAATCAAGTGTGGAATGAAATTAGGTGTTAATTTTCTTATTACATCAAGATTCTAAAAGAACTTGTCCAGTTTTAGTGCTGGTTCGGTTATCATTTTAGTGGAGTTAGTTGTGTGATTTTATGTTGTTTTGTTTGTCAAACAAATTCATATAATGGCCAAAACATGTTCTAGGCCCGGAATATGTTAATTGTTTCCACCAGAATATCTGAACAACATCAAAGATTTCGGACCACTAAGTCGAACATTTGAATAGGCTGATTAAACGAAAAATGAAGTACATCATTTAACACCATTGAAATAGCTGTATATTATTCAAAGTCAGTGTGACTTGTTACAAAAGAAAACAAGAAATCTATCAAAAACTTACAACAATTTCTGAATTTTGTTACTTGCATCTGATCATCTGTGCAATTGAACAATGCTCGATTTCGCCAAAGCTTCACTCACACCATCTTTCTTTAGAAAATTACCTAATCATAATCCCAAATGAATCACAAATCTGATTCAGCAAAGAGTGTCTTAGAGAAACAGTGACGATAAAACACGAAAACAAAAACAAAAAACACACGGATTCTACCAAATGTTCTCATCATATCGATTAGTCTGATCATCTACAATTCAAGATTTATCTTTCATTAGAGCCAACATTCACTAAATTCAACATCTGTGTGGAAGACACACTAAAAACCCGGGGTTTTAAGAGAATCTTGAAGGAGGAAAAAAAACTAACCTCTTCTCGAGATAAGATGGATTCGAGAACGAGGACCGTCGAACATCCAGTTATCTTCTTCTAATGATTTAACCTCTTTCTCTAATTCAGCCATCAAATCAGCTTTCAAAACTGCACCACCATGAAAAACCCAAAAGATTGTATCATCATCTTTCTCAAGAACAAACACTCACAAAGAATTGATGAGTACCAAATCATCAAAAGAATCAGCTTAGTTCGTAACTATGGAAGATGAATTTAAAGGTGATTCTTTGGCAATCCAATTGAAATCACAATCATTGATCTCATTAAACAATGAATATTAAATATGGAAGATGAATTTCAAGGCGATTCTATGAGGCAATAACTGCAAATCGATACAATTGAAAGAAGCAATCCCAGATTAAGGGATTTGAGATTTCGAGCAAGCAATTCTCAAACTTTTGCAACGTTAACAATGGAAACTTGAAACCCAGAATGAATTTGGATTGTTACGAAAAAACCCAAATTTCGCGACGAATTGGAAACCCTAATTGAGCGAGGAATCATGAAAGAAGAGTACGAACTGACCTCGCATGGCTTCGTCCTTGCGTTCTTGCACAGAAGGAATGTCCGGTGGAAAATGGAAATCGTCGAGACCAGCGGCGGCTCCGCTGCTACCACCGCCTCCGGCAACGGCGGTCGTCGAAACCGAAGAATGAGCAGGAGATGCTCCGTTCATCACTATCCTCTCTCCCTTCCTACTGGTTCGATTTGGGTCGGGTTGTTTTCTTTGTGACTTGGGTCGGGTTTTTAAATTGGTTTAATCTAAATTTGTCTATTTTTCGCTTTAACCGATTTAGGTCGGGTTAATTTTTTTATCAACCGAATATTTTACGGATGATTTGC